CAGAGCATGTTATCACTTTTGCAAATGTTTCAGGGTATATAATATGTGCTTAAGGTTTTGCACAAATGTCTTATCTCTGTCTCACAAATGCTCTTGCTAGTGAAACCAGTGAGTGAGTAGTAAACTTAAAAAACAACAAACAGTCTGGTAGCGCTTTAAAGACTAACAAAACACGTAGATGGTATCATGAGCTTTCCTCCTCCTCTTCCCCCTTCCCTTATTTATTCTTGGTTCTGGACTTCCAACACTCTGGTCATCTGAAGAAGTGGGCTGTGCCCTTGAAAGCTCATGATTCTGTCTACATGTTTTGTTAGTCTTTAAAGTGCTACCAGACTATTTGTTGTGTTTTAAGTTTTTCCTGTTACAGACTAACTCTGCTACCCCCCTGAAACTTTTGAGTAGTAAACAACAGTCTTGTCCCTCTCATACCTTTTCCAAATGCTGCAGCCAAACTATCATCATGTCTTCCCCTTGTCATTCTCAGACTTCCATGCTGTTCTTCACAATATTGTTTCCCCCTGATTCGTGAACTTGGTGCCTACAGCTGCAGGTTATGTTTTGTAGTTCTCTCTTTAAAGAGGGGTTTTTCCACTACTTGCCTAAGGAAGTTTGTCACATTAGTAAAATACAGTGTTTCGTAAATCCACTTTAAACTAAATGTGGACCTAGAATCTTCAGAATACTGACAATTAACATTTTTCTTGAAAAGTTGAAACTTCCCCCTCAATTATGAATACTGGTTTTGGGGTATGCTTCAACAAATCCCAAGTGAAATAGTTCACTCGCTGATTGAAAGGGCAAAGCATTGCTGATAGGAGTGTGAAACTGGTTGGAAGACTGTGTTTTAGCATTCTCATGCAGTAGTGCCATGTACTTCTTGAACTGTCATTTCTGGTTGCATTGTACTTCCAAGCTGCTATATCGTTTTTCAGCCTGCTTGATTAATATTTACTACATAAGGATTTATGGCTTACTAGAGGCAATCCTGCATATATCCTTGAATACACAGGTATGTGAGATGCTAAAAGTTAATTAGCTGTATCTGTTTTACATACATTTGAATGGCAGTATGAGAAGGCAAGTCGTGTTGCATTTCTTGTATCCGATTATTAATGAAGATTGTGCCGAGTCCCGGTGAAGTCAAGAACAATGATCTCTGCATAGACTAGCCTGCTGCATGTAACCATGGCTCTACTGCAATGGTTTGCAAAGTGTGGTCCTGTCTAGGCTGTGGGATCGGGGCTCGCCCCCCTCCCCACTGGTGCTCCAGTCCCGTGCGCCCACCTGGCGAGGTTATAGCGTCAGCACCAACTTCCTGCTCTAGCGGGAAGGCAAGCCTCACAGGCTGGATCCAGGTCGCAGGGGGTGCTGCTCCCCTTCCCCCAACTAGAGGGAAAGCAGCGCAGGAAACCACATTTTCCATGCTACTCCCATTGGCCAGAATCTTGGCTGGAATCATAGTCAATAGCGCATCGGGGGGGGGGGGGGCCTGGGAGCGGGGTGGGGGCGGAGCCAGGTAAGCACCTCCAAACTACCCCACCTTCAGCCCACTCCTGCACCCTACCTCCCACCTAGACCTCGCACCATAACACCTCCTGCACCTATTTTGTCGTCATGGTTGATTGGCTGACAGTCTGCAGAAAGGTCTGCGTTGAATGGGGTGGACCATGAGCCAACAAGTTTGAGAATCGCTTCTCCAGTGGGTTTGACAACTCTATATTACAGCTTTCCTTAATGTCAAGTGACACAGGAATAATATTGTAAGCTTCTTGCTGAGAACACTGGTGTCTGTATGTGAATTTAGCTGGGTTTTGTTACATAGTTTTCTAAATGTTTTTGTAGGATCACACCTTTGCAGTAACTGCTGGATTCTTATGAATGACACTTTTTTTGAATGACTCACCTAGAGCATTTGAGACTAAATTGACAATGTACCATTTCCAACAGGTTCTCTCGAAACAGAGTCCGTTTCTTGGAGAATCAGAGAATCCAGCGTGAGCACACAGAGGTGAGTCGTTAATCCCATTCGCTTCTGGGTAAGAATCTTGCTAAGATTTTATAAACCAGAACTTTTCTTCCTTGTTGCAACTGACGTGGTTTTGTGACCTAAGGAATTATATTCGCTCACTGTTGGATTCAATCTGCTGTCTCCAATAGAGGATAATGTTGCTCTATTCATTTGCGAGAGTCACACTTACAGAATCTCATTTTGTAGCACCAGTATCAAATTACCTTCAAATTGAACATGGAGAATGGGAAAGGACAACTGAAAAGAAAAAGACAATCTATTCAAATGCAGTTTTATTACACCTCTTTTGCTGCAACGTGAATAGATTTGTTTCTTTTCATCTATGGCCTTATTTTTCACTTATTGTCTCTATGGGCATTTATGAAGTTGGAATTGAATTCTTACAGGCTACTTTTCTCTCATCATTGCTTTTATTTTATTAACCATTCTGGCCCAAATAATGACACATGTTTTATCTTGTACAGAGCCAAAATTAACTTGGTTTCATTTGCATTCTGCATGAGGCTGATTACATTGTCATGGTTGCAGTATAGTCCATAATTACTACAAGACTGTAGCAATCAATTTTGTTTTTCCCATGAAACACTACTATTAATGTCTTCCATTTGTAGTCAGATAGTCCATTTGTTGTTTCTGACAGATGGGCTAACAGTCCAAAATTACCCAGTTTGAAGATCTTGTAGCTCATTCCCAAATTTAAAATAAATTTGTTTTTGCTAGTGATAATAAACCACTATATCAAACGTGATTATGACTAATTCTCACTTTGTTTCATTTTTAACTCTATTAAGACACACATAGGCTTAAACTGCAGCAAGGGCAGTTTCAACTGACATTAGAAAAATTTTCCTGGCAGAAATAAATTGCTGGGAGAAGTTGTAGAATTTTTATCTCTGGAGATTTTTATGTACATATTGGCCAAAAGCTTGTCGAGGATGTACAACAAAATACTGAGTCCTGCCATGAGTGCAGAGGATTCGACTAAGTGACCTCTCAAGGTCCTTTCAGTCCTATGATTCTATGTACACTAGACCTGAGTGGGAAACAGTTTTCCTGTCCTGTCAAAAATTTTAGATTTTTGAACATTTTATTACCCCGAATCAGGATATAAAATTAAAAAATTAAAAAAATTAAATGAAGATTTGAAAAAAAATGGGTTGATTGAAATTTTGACCCATTTTGAAATTTTGAAAATATCAAAATATATCATTTTGACAATTTCAGAACTTTTTTCAATGTTTTTTAAAAGGGGGCATTCAAAACCCGCAAAGAGTTACGGTTTTGATAAACTGGCGTTTTCCAAGAAAAAAAAATTCGTAGTAGAATTCTTGACCAGCTCTACCTTTCCTCAGTAATGTTCAGAATCTGATTTCAAATGTTTGTCTTATGGGAAAATAATAATTTAAATTGACTTTTTAACGTTTTCATCTTAGATCTATAGCAAACAACCATCTGCTCCGTCGTGTGATTTACTTGACATCAATTCAAGTTCTTCATTTCCCATGTCAGCATTGGTGGGAAATGGCCCTGAGACTCCTCAGTTTTCAAAATTAAGTGAGTAAAATATTTGTATTTTCTCAGAAACACTAGGAACTTTGATATAAAATATTTCTAACCTTGTGGAGCTGGAGGCTATGCAGATGGAAATGAAAATAAATTGGTGTCACTGGGTTGGACTTACTGCCACAGTGCCTCCTGCTGGTCACTCTGGGAATTAGCTGTGTCTTCAGCAGAGTGCCCCCTTCTGGCCAGTGTCTCCCCGATCATTGCTCCACACTCTGGACCTGTTTAAACCCCCAGATCACTGCTTTCTCTTCAGGACACTGCCCTTCATGCTGGTCTCTCATCCCCCTTCCGAGGGTATCAGCAGTCCTCTGCCTCACGCCTGCCTCAGTGGCCAACTGCAATCTCAGTCTAGCTCTTTATCTGAGGGATGGGCAAGCCACAGTCCATAAAGGCCACTCCTCAGTGTGACTAGGTACAGTGCAAGGGGGAAGGAAGGGACCCAGGCCTACCCACTACTCTGGATCCTGGCGCAGGGACCCTGTGGTTGCAGTCTCGTCCCACCCTCCTTTTCTCCCCCTCTATTGCTTCCTGTTCCCTAGGCAACTTCCCCTGTGACCCCGGCCCTTGTGTCAAGGCCTGCAGCCTGGGAGGTGTCAGGCTGTAGCCTCCCTTTCTATCTAGCTCCTCTGAGCCTGTGCAGCACGGCTCTCTCTAAGGGTACTTCCCTGGGAACCAGTCCTGCACCTTCCGTGGTCAGGCCCCAAATGCCCACTGCTCTTTTTTTCTCCTCACTTGGGAGCCAGGTCATTGAGAGATGGGGTTGGTTTTTTGGTTGTTTGTTTTTGCTTCTCACTTGTGTGTGTGGCTCCTGAATGATTTTTTTGTGGGTCAGTGGCCACCCACCCATAAAAGGTTTCCCATCCCGGCTCTATTGCAGGAGCTAAAAGTTATGTGGCTATAGAGCGAACTCTCTAATCTCTCTCTGGTCTCAGTGCCATTGGATGACACAAAATATCACACCCAGCAGGTATTTCGGTTACATTTCCTTAGAAGAATTTCCTATACGTGTGAGATGAAACAGAACGTAGGCAGTGATGAGAGAATTTGTGAATGTGCGCAGCATCAAACAAAACATTGTCTTGCCTCCCTTCCCCCCCACACACACTATACACTGCAGGGGTATACATCTGAGGCTGGATAAAAGAACAACTGTAGCAAGCTTTATAAATATGAGGTTTTTGCATACATGCTGGCTGTGTCTACATTGGCACCCCTTTCCGGAAAAGGGATGCTAATGAGACCAGTCGGAATTGCAAAGTAGGAATAAGGGATCTTCCGGAGAAGGGCTTATTTTCCGGAAAATCGTGTCTACACTGGCGCTTTTCTCCGGCAAAAACCCTGAGCCAGAAAAAAGCGGCAGCCATGTAAATGCAAATGCCGCGGGGGATATTTAAATCCCCCGCGGATTTGCAATTCCGAAGTGTCTCATTAGCATCCCTTTTCCGGAAAGGGATGCCAATGTAGACACAGCACTTCTGAATGTAGTTTCGGAATGGCTCACAATCCATAAGAGTGTGTTACGTGTTCGTAGTGGGGATGTCAGCGTGTAGTCAACTGCATGATTAACAGATAATCCTAGGTTTATAGGTTAATCCTATCGACTACACATACTCCCCCCCCCCGGGTGAGGAAGCAGGAGCTGGTGCTCTTCGCCCCGTCCCCCACTGCTGCCTCTGATAGAGAGGCAGCAGTATGGAGGGTGGGGGTGACAGGCGTGTCACCAGTACTAGGCACATTAAGTGGCGGTTAATTAGCTAATTGAGCAATTGATGGAATTTCCATTGACTACTCAATTAGTTCATAAGGGGGGGGGGCGCTCGCTCCACTGCTGCGGCTCTGCAGTTTTAATATAGTGAAGAGCCGGGCACACAGGCAGCCCGCCTCTTATTACATTTAAAATGCAGAGCCACAGCAGGGTTAGCTCCTGGGGGTAGCGTGAGCCAGGACTAAGCAGCCCTGACTAAGCAGTCCTGGCTGGCGCCAGTTCTGGGACCACTGTGGCTCTGCCTCCCCTGCTCTCTGCCCCCTCCACACTGCGGAGACAGTGCTGGGGAGAACCAGCTTTTAAACTGGTTTCTCCCAGCTCCGGCTTCTGCTCCCTCTCCCCCGCCTCTGATTCAGCCGGTACACACG